GTGCACACAAATTAGGTTCCCACATAACTTTTTACACAAGTTATTCAATGACGTCGGTTATCATTTTTACAATGTGTCGGCATCCTCATTATTTCCACGACTTGTTCTAATTGATCTAGCTTGTCTGCCCTTCTTGCCTCATCCTGTTATGGGGTAAATGCTGACCTATGGGAGCTACAGGCTCCAAAGCCCACAGGGGACGCTGAGGCAGCCCTGACTCCATGGCAGTGAGCTACTGTTTCTTTGACTTACTGATCTCAGATAGTTGATTGTTTAAGGCAGTGGTTCTCACTCTGTGGGTTGTGACTCCGTTGGGGGTCGAACAACCCTTTCACAGGAGTCATCTGATTCATAACATGAGCAAAATTATATTGATGAAGTAGCAACAAAAATAATTTTATGGTTGCGGGGGTAACCACCACGAGGGACTGTATGAAAGGGTTGCGGGATTGGAAGGCTGAGAACCACTGGTTTAAAAGACACATTATTCCATCTTGTCAAGGGTCTTCCTCGTTTTCACCAACACTCCACTTTACCAAACATGATGCCCTTCTCCAGGGACTGTTCTCTCCTGGAAACATGTCCCAAGTGTGTAAGACAAAGTCTTGTCATCCTTGTCTCTAAGGAGCACTCTGGCCTTACTTCTTGCAGGATAGACTGGTTTGTCCTTTTATTAGTCCATGGTACTTTCAATGTTCTTCTCCAGCACCACACTTCAAATGCGTGGATTCATCTAGTTTTCCTGATCCACAGTCCTACTTGTGTCGTGTCCTACCCTCCATTCGTTCTTCAGCCCTGCTAGTGACAGCTGTAAAAGCATATTACAGTGTGGCTTAATTCTGACTAGAGAAATGGACCATCTACCCCTACATTGAATGGCTGTGGTTTTCTCTCTTCTGTGAATTTACTTTACTCACTTTTCTGAAAATTAATCTGCAAGAGTTTGGCTTTTTTTTTTAATAGCCCGGTTTTGTCAATCCGGTTGCAAGGTTCCTCCTTTGTTCATTTCTTTATAAATAACATCTTCCTGGTATGAAAGGTTTTTTCCTTTTTGATAATGAGTCCAAACGGTTTTGTTTTTCATTATGGTTTCAGAAGATTTTGTTTGTTTTAATGAACTTTTTCTAACTACCATATTTAAAATTTTTCTTTTGGTTTTAATTAATTAAACAATACATTATCTGAAGTTTAATTATGAAGTTTATACTACAAAGTACAGATTTCATTTGAAAATATTTCCCCAAACTGCCGATTGTCTTCCAGAATTATAAATAATTCATTCTTAAAAAAAAAAAAAAGACATTATTCACGGGTGATATTTACAAGTCAATCTTGTTATTTGGCTGAAAGAGAACCTCCTAGATTCCAAGCCTTTCCATCAATCCAGTAAACCAATGAGGTATTGGATGTGTTCAGGAAATCTCCATAACTATGCCCCCATGTGACTGATACATACACCAAACTCAAACATGATATACAAATGCCTACAGACATACCTATACATGCATTTACATGTTCTCATATATGCCTTCCAATATACATACATGTTGTTTATCTGTCTATGTAGATATACTCAATTGTTGGATGCTCACACATTTTCTGGTTGTTGTCATTGCTGTTATAAAGGTGTGTATGTTCCGTCATTACCAAAATTGTCCCTTACAGTTCCATATTTCTTAGGGGCTTCGTTTGCGTTAGTCAAGTTGCACATACTTCATATTGGATGTTGCTTTGACCATCATAAAAAATAACAAGGATCTAATAGCTAAAGGCGATGATTCTCTTTTCCTACCTCTCCCATCCATTTAATAATCAAAGAACGTTGCTTTCTGTGTGTAAATCTAATCTTGACTAAACAACTGGCTTAAATTAGAGCAAGTAGTATGGAACTTTATGTTTTGTGTTCTCTTAAAAGATTAAATATATGATAGCAAATTGATAATCTACAGAACAGAGAAGATGGGTGTGTGTGTGAGACTCTAAATTAAAGGTGATCAAACAATTTCAGCAGTAACAGCAAAATTGTTGACATAAAAATTAACCAATACCACTGAACTATAATGTATACAGATTATTTAATATATATTTTTGCTATATACATATCCATAAAATGAGATTAATTTTTTTAAATAAGGGGAGAAATTAAAAAAATCTTACTTTACAATTTATTTGGACAAACAAAATGATTATATAACACTATTTTACTGTACTAACATGCCTATTTGGATTCCATAAATTAAATAGCACCACATTTCATTTTTGATTAAAAATATGACAGCTATTTTTCAGGGAAATGATCCCAAAACATGTTTTTAAAGTTTCATTATTAAGCAAATGAAAATATATGTAACAGATGGGTAACAGATGACCTCGTACGATTTTAAAATGTTTCCCAAAATAGATAGAATTAATTTACTAACTAGAATTTTTAACTACATACCAACATGGGTTTTAGCTAATTAAGTAACTAAAGCAACTAACAATTGTTTGATATGGTTAAAATACTAATCTTCAAGTTATTTTTAAATAAATCAACATTTGAAATCTGAGTGGACAATAAGGGAGCTATATTATCCAAGAATTGTGAGAAACATAGTAACATTTTAGAAACTTTTAAATTAGTTGAAGTTTAAATTTATTAAACTGACAAAAACTTTTTAAAAACAGTGATATGGAAAATGGGAATTTTCATTCACTGCTAATTCTGTATATACAAGAGTAAAATCTGGAACAACCATTTTTAAAATGCAATCATAACAAAATTTTTAAAAAATCTTCACACATTCTGGCTACTTCTGAAACATAGTTAGGATGAAAAAGTTTTAGGTACTTGGAACAACTGAGTTGCTCTTTGTAGCTCCCCATTCCTTTGCTTGGGATGAGGGAACTACTTACAGGATTGGTTTCCCCCCAAAGTAATTGATGACCTCCAAAGAGGAGTCCTGGTCAGTCTCCAAGCTGCGAGGTCAGTGGTCCAACCCCATCGCTGCCTCACGAGACAAGGCGGAAAGTGTGTGCTGCCAGAGGTGTTCAGCCCTGAGCACCTCATACAGGGTTGTTGGGTTGGAATCAACTTGATGGCAGTGAGTTTGGTTTGGTTCCTTGCTTTGAATTAACTGTTACATTTCCTTTTAGTTGAAAAACACTCTAGGTTTTTTCCCTGAGCGATAAACCACTCCTGAGGTGTTGGTCTCACTGGGGAATCTTCTATCTTGTAATTGACAGAGAACACACGGACTGACTTCTAAAAACCCTGGGACCTGGGGACGGAGATCTAGGGATGACACCTGTGCCAGGCAGTGTGGTAACCACAGAAGTAAGCCTTTCCTGCCCCTGAAAAATATGAAGATCAATCTTATGTTTTGAAATATCTGCAGAAGTCCGATGTTTGTATTTGTTAATATAAAAAGTATTTAGTTAGGAGTAGGGGGTAGAGGGCAGAGGGAAAGGGTGGGTTCAGGGAAACAAAAACAATTATACACAGGACCACAATCACTCTTCTTTAAAAAGTATATATATTTTATATTATACATATACACATATATTTATACACGATAATATATAATTTATATATATTATATTTATATTATACTCTGGGAAATTTCATGAGGCCGTTTTACTGTCCTACAGGGTTGATCGAGCCCAGAAGTCAGAATCGACTCAGAGGCGGTGGCTGG